GTATGGTCTGGTAAGGCACTTATACACTACTAGACGGGCCCGTGTCACTCTGACAGGCCCCTCAGTAGCACAATGCCTTTCGGGCCGGCCAATTCCCTGAGGTTACGTCACTACTTATTAGAGAGTCGACGCCGAATGACAAATCACTGTAAGTCAGGTGATAAATCCCCGACATTGCATTGAGTATCCTGTTCGTGTCTGGTAAAATAAATCACATATCTTTATTCGGTTATCAATGTTCGAGCGAGGTCTATGAAGCAATCGAATAAAGAGGTATGGTTCATTTCACCAGCTACGAACTCGACTGTTGGTCGCCGTAATTTCGGGAATTCATTACCTGACTTCCGGTGATCTGTTATCCAGCGCCGGTTCCTTAATAAGTAGTGGTGTAACCCTAAGAGATTGGCCGAACTGAAAGGCACTGTACTACTAATGAGCGCGCAAAGGCGAAACGAGTCCGTCTAGCACCTATAAGTGCCTAACCAAACCTCACAAAAGGCTCAAAATACATCATGTGATTATAAGATTACTATTATTTCTGAGTGAGGTTTATAAAAACAGTCGAAAAAAAGCTGTTACGATACTCATATGTCAGGCGACGACAAATATCTAAGCCGATCTCATTCGCTGGGTAGGAACTTCTCATAGAAGTGCTAGTGATAAGTAGATAGCTTAAATTTCTGACTTCATCTCCACGTCTCCAATTTTCCAAAACACCCTTTTGTAACACGGTAGCATCCAGAATAAAATTTTGTTTCTGACTCGCATTTGGCCTTTCTTTTTTTCACCACGAGTAGAAAACTCTGGAAGCACGAAAAGCATATCAGCATGTAGAGCATTTTCTGTAGTATCGGAATCATGCGTTTCTACCTAGTTTCTCTCGCTGAGGTGAAAAAACTTTCCGTAAAAGAACAGTAGTTGCCGTCGTTTTAATGCAGTGTGGTTCTGTCGAGCTACGCGGTAGATCAGGCAATTACCTTACTAACAAGTCGTCGCTATGGCTTCCCCTCACATTTCACTCAGCTATGAACCATTCCGGTGAGTTCGTTTATCGACCAACTCACGGAGCGAAGGGAGAGGAGGCATCTGGGTGGGGCGACCGATGGCGCTTAGAAACTTTGGACAGAAACGTAGACTCTGATACTACTAAATATTCTCTACGAGCGCATGTGTTTTTCGAGCTTCTATCACTTATCACAACGCATGATAAAAATGGAGGCGGAAGGTTAGTGGAAACAAAATCTTATTCTGCGTGCTAGAGTGTTATAAAGAGGTGTTTTGAAAAACCAGCAACGATAAGTTGCAGCCAGAAATATAATATTTCTAACTATCTTCATACTTCTATGAAAAGTTGCATGAGATCGGCTTGAAAGGTTATCGCCGCTCAATATATAACTACCACTATTTCAAATACGAGTGATAATGCTAGCATAAAGAGTGAATTAATGAGAATTATCTCTAAAAACCAGCGCTGGAAGTCAATTACAGCCTCTCACCCTGCCAGATGCTATGTAGTGCTAAGGCGACTACTGCATGATGGATTATGATCAAAGGAGCAAGCAGATCAGTTGTCAGTCACCCACGATCCATGAAGTTCTCTGATCACGATGGGTCACTTCAACTTATCAATGTATAGTAAGGCTTCTCCATCAGACATTACCTCATTGGAGTGCTTTACGTTACCCACTGCCAGATGTTAAACTGATGTGGTAAACTCGTGACATCGTAGCTTTGACGAAGGGGAACCGAAAAAACGTCAACTGCGGTAAGAATTCATTTAAAAAAACCTTGTGTAAGCTTATCAATAATCATTAGAACGAGAAATCAATTCCTTTATAGCCCGTAGAATTTTCAGAGCTTCACCGAAATTGTTACATTTTAGCCATATTCGTTTCGGGCATCGCCCCTCTCATCAGTGGACCACGCCCCACACTAAACTCTACTTTATAGCAGGGATGGAGAGATTTATGTGGTGATGGCACATGATATTTTGTTATCACCATTTTTTAATCAGCCGATAGACTGCGGCTCTTCGACAGAAGTTGATCCATCTCATCGACTGTTCTTAACCTCTCTATTAGATGGATCAATCCATGTCTACCGGCCGCAATCCGTCAAATGAGAAAAAGATAACACAATATCAGGTGTTATCACCACATGAGTCTCCTCATACCTTCTATGAAGTAGGGTTCAGTGCTGGACGTGGATCACGGATAAGGTGGGCCATGCCTCCGAAACGCGTGTGGCTGCGGCTTAACAACTTCGGTAAGGCTTTAAACAATCCAACTGCGCAACTGAAGTTTGTTTTCAAGGGCATTGAATGTTGGGGTACGACATTTTGCATCGTGCCGCGCAGCGTCGCGTCGAGACGAATTTGTATTGCCGTGGACCATAATGGAGAAAAGGTGATTCAGTTAAGAAACTTACGTTCTACAGTAAATTAAAAGAATAGAAGAATAAAGCTCTCGGGGTTGATCATTCCCTGGAGAGCGCCAAGCACTCGCTTTCAATTATCAATTTCATTTGAGATAACTGAATATAAATCTAGCCTTCAAATTATCTCAAGATGGTCTATTAATTATCAAATCAGTGCTGCTCACCCTCGCCGACAAGTCTGGTACCAATTTGCCGACTTTGGAGAAATGGGAGACTCGATGAACCATGAATGTGAGTTTGAAACAGCGACCTTGCGTGTGACGCACAGCATTTCTAACCACTGCTCCACTCCGCTGTTTAGAACACAGTATTACTACTGAATGATGCACACTACTGCATAGACATTTAAAAGGGAGTTCTCTTTAGTAAAACCCACTGTTCATTTGTCCTAAAAATCACGATGTTTGGGCGAAATAGTCACGTCGTTGCAAAAAAAACATTTTGCAGCTTTTATTGAAGAGTTTTTCAAATTTCATTCTTTTTCTGCAGCCATTCGATAGCATAACAGGTGCTAATTTTGGTTTGTCGAAAGACTTTTCTAGAAAGTTCTACAATTCAAGGAAAAGAAGGTCTTGTTTTTGGATTACTGCTCCAACTTCATAACGGATTATTGGTAATATCCAGCAAAATTTTTGGCTCTGAGCAATTTTTTTGTGCGGGAAAACTAACTATTAGTGGAAGGACGTCTATAAACAAACTTTCAGTGACAAATATGCTCATGCATCCTAAAATCTTCCACTTTTCTTTATAAATTGTATGGAATACATTCCTGTTTCCTCGACTTTTTTTACCTAGTTCATTGATAGCCATGCGACAGATAGAAAATGGAGATATTAGTGCTAAGCTTAATTTCTGAAAAACCTTTTTGGTGCGCAGCCCCTACGAGGAGAACATGCGCTTCGCTTTCGGGGTGTCTAGTCTGTTATTTTAACCCTCTTAGGGCGGTAATAGAAAACGTTGTGCGCATCGCGGATCGCAAAGCGGCGCGAGATTTTTGCTATTCAATTAGGGCTTTTTTCCATCTTCAAAATAATTGGCTAGAATAAAACAAAAGGCTCGAAATACGAAATATGCTATCAATTCAGCGAAATAACTTTTTGAATCTTTTGTTTTCTCACTTGCTCTGCAACCTCATATGCTCTTGGAACATATATAGATCTTATGTATGAAAAGAACGCTGATTTACTGTGCATTCATATCGTTTTTAGCATTCAGACAATTGTAACAAGTTCTACAAAAGATATAATGGCACTGATTCTCAAGTTGCTGATTATATTCATTAGCTACGATGCCCAAAAATCATCAAATCGGCTAGATCAGGAGGTAATTATAATTCGTAAAAAATAATGAAGAGTACTGCATGCGACATCAGCCATTGATAACTCAAAATAAATTTTGGATTTGATAATATATTTTGAGCATTTCATGAAGTCTTTTAGGGGCACCTATACAGTGCAAGGCACGTGTTTTCGGTCTTCCAGCTTCGTTAGTTGCACGGTGCCTTTTCGTTCACACAGTTTCTCGGGGAATTAACCCTGCATAAATTTTTGGGATTACTGTTCACTTCGTGAACTGGAGTTTTCAAGTGGAATTTCTTTGATTCTTGCGCAGCCTTCCAAGCCACTGTTTCTTAGACACTTTTTGGATCGGCGCTTATTTCATTCATTAAAAAGAGTAGTTTTAGAGACATCTTTCCGCCTAGGCTTTAGCACCATTGTTTTTGTTATTTATATTTATGCGGTTTGCCTCTCCTTATTGACCTAATTTCGGTGGGTTAGAGAAGAGATATTCTTCAATCATTCTTCGGTATCTGTTCAATATATAGACCCACTAAAACCCTACAATAAAGTTAGTTGCTGCTGTAAACTTTCCCACTAGACATGCCTGTTAAAATAGCGCGTACTAAGTATTACTTAGTTGATTGCCCTCAATGCGACTTCGTGTACCTCGCTCTACTTTCATCCTCCCAAAATAACTTTGGGACGGCCATGTGCACGTCGTTGTAAACCCTTCACGAGTAAACCATATTTTCATTTCTAAAAGATGTCTTTTTCAAAATAAGGATTGCTAGAACGCACTGACGTTCTTCTTACTGAAAATACCAATAAAAATCTCCTGGGCAGCATGCTCCTCTTCTTGACGATGAAGTGCTCTGACCGTGCAATATAACTGCTAACAAAAGCGCTGTCAAGTGTACAAAACGGGGTTAACTTTTAAAAGACAAAGTGTACCAGCTGAGGAACACTACTGTTTGAAGAGCTTTCTTCGCTGGGCGAAGTTTTTCTCAATCATTTAGAATCACTTGAAAGCTTAAATCTCTGCATGTTTGAAGATCTGTTTGCTTTTTACAAATGACTTTTCATTGCGTTGTAGTAGCGGAAAAAAATTATGTTTTACACTCAGCTTTCTTCATTTGCTCGCTTGGCTTCGATATGGTTTCCCACCAAAGTTTCAAATTAAGAATACTTGCATAAACCAATCAGGATTCATTTTATTTGAAAGCCTTTTGTGGTGGTTTGATGCTTCAATAAACCCAATAATGTAAAGTGGTGTGTAAAAACATTTGCTTCAGCTGGGATTCGAACCCAGATCTCATTCTTTCCGAGAACGCATGCTGAACCGTTGCACTACCGACCTCACCACTCCACATTATTGGGTTTTATTGAAACTTTCATAAATGTTTTTTTGACATGTACAGCAGCTACATGTCTAACAAATCTCTTCTTTTCAGCGTCAATATCACAGCTATGTAAAAAGATAAGCGAACTTTGTACCCTTAATGTGCACTTTCATCGCCTCTTCCTCAAGAACTTAGCTTAAAAACACATCTTTTTCAACTAGATCCCTCTAATAGATAACTACGTGAAGGTAATTGTAGTACGTACCTGGAATAGGTGCAGGAAGAGCGACCGTTCGTCATTGTGGAAAATATTCTTTGCTCCTTTCAATCATTGAAAGAGTCATTCGATAGCTGAGGTCTCGAAAATTTGACGGGTGTATTTGTTTTCTGAAAGACCTCTTTATTACGTTATAGTAGTGTAGAAAATTTCATTTCACACTCAAGCATTTTTTCGATGAGTAAAGCTTTCCCTGAAGAAATGCAGTAATTAATCGATAGCATGAATTCCGCAAAATTCGATAGTGCTTGTGATGTTACAAAAAAAATTTATTGCACTGTAACATTGAAGTTAAGATTCCATTTCACATGCGGTGCGCATAGCTTGAACCTGTATGTGGTAGGATTTTGCAACTTTGACATCAAACCATCTCCTTTCATTAGCCAGTCAATAGTTTGAATATCGAGGATTTCAATAGTATGCTTGTGTTTTGTGAAGGAAACCTCCTGGCGTGCTGTAGCAACAATAACAAAACTCCGTGGACATTTGAGTACTTTTCGCTGAACACGGCTTTTCTCTCAGATTTTTCTATCCATTCGATGACGCAAATCTTAACTATTTCAATGATATGCTTGATTTCACGGTCGGTGTTAAAAGTGTGTTATTCTCCAGTCATGACCATCGACACAGACAGTTCGATTTAAACAAAACGAAGTGTTGAAATGCAGTAGAATAATTTGTTCATTCTAGCTTTTTTTAGGCTATTAGAACGACATTACCATTGCAACGATCTCTGCTACAGGTTTTCCGAATTACTAGCACTTTGTTCCAGACGCCATTTCTTGCTTGTAAACTTCATTTCCATCCTAAAGCAGTTCAATTTGTATGAAAGAACACCTTGTTGGAAAAGTTGGTTAATGTTTATGAAAATATCTTCCCCTTGAAAAAATCCCACCGACGAGATATTGCCGAAAGCAACCGATTAGGTTAATACACGACTGAGTGAAAAGCATAGCTCGAGCCTTCATTTTGCAGAGAGAAATCTTAGTATACGAAAAGGAAATCACGAATTCCAAGCCATCTCAGGCTCTCTTTGCTGGTAACTCAGCGATCTTGCTGTCGTAGTTGAATTGACTTAACCATGCGCTATGATTCTCTAACAGATATCTCTTTTAAATTTCCATCTGTTCTTGCTACAGCTTTTTTGAAACATGGCCACTACGAAACGAATTTTGAATATGCTAAATAAACCGGGAACCAGCAATATAAGTTACATTTTTCACTGACATTGCATAGCAGGAACTGGCAATGGGCTTTTCCCAAATTACTCACCGTTACTTTGAGAATCCTAGTCAGTTTGTTCTTTATCGGTGAATGATATGCTCAGGTTCAGTGAATATCACTGTTGTTGTAACGTTTTCCAAATTACCTCTTCATACACTTGAGGGGCAACGGAAGCATTTTCTTAGTTTTTAAGCAAACAGATCTTCTACATGTAATTCTTGCTTGCAAATTTTTTACCCATTTCTTGAAGAAAGCGCCATATGGAAGCTAATCACGTGGCACACCTTCATGTGATTTTCACCATACAATGACTTCTGAGCACTCTAAGGCTTGCCAATTCGTTGCTGCTGTATTGCTACAATAATTACCATTCAAATGAAAATATTTGTCTAAAACACATTACACTTAAAATTTAGTTTCCGCTGGCAACGGCAGGTGCTGAAGCGAAGTGCTGTCCAAGTGGACCCGATGCTAACATCCTAAACGCTACGTTGACCACACTTTGCCACATCGTACCAATTCGCCATGATGATGTTTGTGGTCTACACAGATCTCTTTGCTTCAAAAAATCAAGGTCGCAAAAAAAAAGGAAGCTGTTAAAACCGAGATAGCTCCTCCAATTGTCAAGTGCTGCGGAGAAATAGCCGCTACTTGCGTCATACACATCATATTTTTGCCCCGGCTGCAGCATCATTGGTCGAGTGCAAATTCTCGTCACCGTGTTGTCGAGTTCAGTTCACTTTCATCGTGTCAGCAAAAGGCATTGAGTCTAAGAAAAGCACCTCGTCTTATACACTGGCAAAGCAAGAAACGCTGAAAAAAAGTTTTGGTCACTGATTCTCTTCTGGTTCTCCAGGCTAGTCACGCCATTAATTGACACATCAGACAACGTGTCGCTTTTGAAAAAGGCGCTAAAAAATCCCTTCGAGAATTAACTGCAAAGGATTTGATTTCAGTGCCATAGTGTTAGCTTTTTGCATATTGTAATACATTATCTTACAGTTTTCCATAAATCATTTGTTTTTTCAAGGTTCATAAACTTTGTTCTATTTTTCCCAAATACATCATCTGGCTAAAATTTTATGAATGGACGTGCAAGACTGAAAACTCACGCATTGCCAATTGATCAGAAGAAAAACCTTTCTGACATTGCATTGTTCGTGAACGATCGTAACATTGAGTTGACTCAAAGTAGATGAGATTACAGATCAGGTAAAAGTGCTCTACGGCCATCGCGTTCGAGAACATCGAGGATCTGAAAATCAGATTTTTCACTACTGCAAAGAATTTATTGAGGAGAGCATCCGATTGATTCCTGTGAAGCGACGCATAGCCAAGAAAGCACTGAAAAGCAGGCGAATTTTTAGAACACTAAAGCTCATTTCTCTACTCTCCTTAGAATTTGCGCAAAAGAAAAGACACCTGAAACCTAGGAGTTGTACACTCACTGTTTACATCACAATACGTGATACAAATGCTTGCACTCCATCCCTGCTGCCTGCAATACCTTGATTTTGAGCAGAAATCATGCCCATGTTGGTATAAATCATGGCAATAGGCAATGACAAGCCTGTGACGACGGAGTTCCTAGTGCTTGTTGCAACGAAGTTCCGTCTTATTTGCAATCAAAAATTAGACCGCTCTATTGGATAGTCTTTTAGACTCATTTTTCTCTCCTATTGTGAGCTGAAAATCGTTTCATTGAAAGGCTCGAATTTGTGGACCGATGACGTGTAAGAAATATTCATTCTGATTACTGTTCACAAACTACTTTCTGTGATGAGATTGGAAGTGTCTGTACTGCAACAACATTAGCTGTTCACTACCTCTGCCTGCAGGTACCACTCCACATTCAGTCATTATTGAGATAGTGACCAACAGTAAAATCGCAATATCATCGGTCTGAAGTTTTGCCATTTCTGCGGAAATTTTCATTTTGCTCTCCCAAAAGGTCAAATACTGTAGACTTGACCAAAGACTAATATTCCTTTTCTCATATCAAATCTTTTACAAGTAATAGCGGTGTTTGGCACAACAAGAGCATAAACTTCGGCGTAGCACCTATTTAATTCTGCAGTAGTTCCAAAGTTTTATATCCAACTGGTTAGGATAAGATTCTCCAAGGAAACTTCTTCAACAGACTGCTATTCCGAAGCGCACAGAATAGATCATTGAGGACGAATGTATGCGAAATTTTAATTGAAAGTGAATTACACAGAAGGGATTACCCGAAGAAAAATTTCAGTGAATGCGTCCGTAAATACCGAAGAGAAATTCTAGTGAATAAAGATGGCACGAGTTAAATTTGATTCCCACCATCTGATTTGCTATTCTGCGATACAGTCTGACTTTCCCCTATTTGCTTTTGCACAGTTCGTGAAGGGAGGGTTCCTTTCAATCGTGCTTGTTGACCAATTGTAATTGTGTTACAACGATCATGAATTCTTTAGTGGTTTCTCTTATATTTTTAAATGAGATGGTAGTGATCTTCTGAAATGTAATAAATGGCATTTCACATAGAAAAAATTTCATCTGGCTGACATATCTCTTTCTTCATGTTTCTAAAGTTGTCGAATTTTTTGCACAAAGCAAAGCTTTAAACGGTTGGATCTTATAAGACAATGAACTACGAAGACTGCAATGAGTACGTTTTCAATCAATGCTTACAGATATGCTTATTAGGAGAAGATGACGTAGAAATAGGATTTTGAGCATCTGTTAAAATGTCGCAATGCCTCACTCAAATTGAAATCATTTCAGAGGACATTTTTTTTTCTTCATGCACTTCTCATGTCAGTAGTAATCGATGTAATGTGAAGCTCAAAATTTCTCTCATTCAGAGTAAGTCAACTAGTTCTTCACATTGAAGCTTAAAGAATTCTATTTTGATGCATCGCAAATGACAATCTGAAAGTACATTCAGCGTCGTAGAATCTTCGGGAGAGTTATGAGTAAGAACGCTGATGGGAACTAAATAAGCGGCTTTATTTTTGCTGTAGCTAGATTATTAAGCCACAAACAGTTTAGCTATAGTTTTCTCCTTAGACTTTCAGCTTTACAGTGCGTCAAAAATTTCTGCAAAACTGTTTTATGGTGAGTCACGTGAGCAGAATCGTTTCACAACGTTATCCTGTGTGAACGTCACAGAGAATGGAAATCGCCATTTCGAAATCATACCAGCTTCGTTGAATGTTCGAAAAATAGAAAACAATGGAAACGGTTTGTCAAAAATGATAGTGCACATTGATTGAAATTCATCGCTGTATTCTAAAATGATAAAGTTTTTTTCTATGCTTGAATATTTATAGTTAACGTGCGAAAGAGTCGGATTCTAATGTGCCGCGGAAGAATCTGTTTTTACCTACAGTAGGTGGGTTTATCAATGTATTGGATTGGCTTTTGCATTAAGTTCACATAGCATAGTTACTCTGAATTGCTACATGATATGATAGCTAATACGTATACTACAAAATCCATGTTCTACGATGCAATTGTGGCATATCATATGGCACTAT